CACTGGTTACCTACCCACTTGCAAGCAAAATTTAACAATCAAAATTCTGTTATACTTTTTATTATTTTTGCAAATTGACTCACCAATGGATGATAAAATTAAACATTGAATGTCTGAAAAATTAAAAAAAAAAAAATTTATACCTCTATGTGTAGGTTTGCGAGAGAAATCACCTCATGCTAAGAAATATATTTTTGGAAAGGTATTCGCCATAAAAGAAGAAAAAAAAAAGATGAACACAGTCAACAGTTTATCTATCTACTGTGATGCATATAAACGCTTGCAGCTTCTTTCTGCTAAACGAAGCGAAGATAAAAGACTTGAAAAATATTTTTGCGATTTCCTTCGCCTCTCCGTACAGTTTTTTGTTTTTTTTTTGTTTGCCTTACTGCAGTTATATTAAGAAATCTTGCACATGAGATCGATATAAGAAATGGAAAGGAAAGCAAGCAAGGGAGTTACAAACACTTTACAATGATATCTTGAAATCCACTACTCTAAGTAAATTTTTAAAAATTTTTAAAAATTGCTGTTTTTTGCTAGACAGAAAATTATCGCCAAACGACATTAGACATTAGAGATGTATGCTCATAACATTATGGGCTTAGTATTGGGCCGCCAAGACGTGAACGTATTCTATTCTATCTGTCTACCAGGCATCTGGGATTATTCATTCACTGGGATTAATAGAATGATGCATGGATATTTAAAATTACTTAACACTATTTTTGAAAATTGGGCTTGATTTTTTTTAGACTGCATAACATGAAGGGAATACTTTATGATTTCTGGCTAGTCTTATAAGATGATGTCTGTTTATAAAATTTTTAGATACTATTTGGAATTTTGTTTGAATCTTTTAGAAGCACTAAGATTTGTAAATTTCTCTGTAATATCAGACGAATATATATATACCGTAGCAGTATTAGTCATCACCATTTTACACCCTCAAGCAAGTGTAGCAAGAAAATCTTAAAATAAAACTTGGTATTTGCACTTCTACGTTTTACTTGATTTCTTTTTTGCATTTCATTCATGAATGCAAAGAAAGATGGGCCATAGCGCGCAGGGAAAATATATTCAAAACAATTAGCCGGTTACATATGAAGAACATCGGCGTACGCGAATACATGAATTCTGTAATCTCTCCGTCTTCTGTAATCTCTCCGTCACGTTTAACATTTCAACGGAATCTTGTTTACTACTAAATGGTAAGGGTATATAAAATTTATGATTTAATAAAGCATATTTCTCTCCCTAAAAGTTTTATTACTAAGATTCCTTCACACTAAAGGCATAAAACTATTAATAAATTTATACGAAAGCGTTCTGGTTGCTTTGCAACATCATTATACTCTATACCACACGTGGTGTGCGTGAGGGAACATTCAGAACGACTTGGGGTAGAGCGCTTGCATTGAGAACTTTTTTATTGTCTTTTACCTGTCCCTTTGCCTCTTTCCAAGCCGCAATTCGGTCTAATGGCGAATACTTTTCAAAATATTTCCGACATAATGCCTTATGTTTGAAAAAGTCGATATATAAACGAAATTGGACATTTTCCATATTTCTCCACATAGTTGGTTAAAAGTAGTATAATAAGGGGGAAATGAAAACTAAAGATAGCAGGAGGCCATTTCTTGAACCTTTTTCGTTTTTTTTTTAATGTGAGCAATCGCTCAGGAGAAGTCTCCTATATATACGACACCTCTGACCAAACGCAAAACGTATGTCTCATATATATGAAGCGCCGTATCAGCGTCAACAAGGACTGAGGAAAGAGAAAGACATAGGGAAGCTCCCGAAGTTTAGTACTTTATTGCAAAAAATACGGTTTCACATGACGGTAAAATCGATTTTCTTGATGTGCACAAGAAAGATTTAGATTTGATTGAACCACGTCGACTCATGTTTCTGGATTCATTTCATTTCGTTTATTAAGTAACTATAAAGTCGTAGCCCGTAGTGCAAGAAGCAACTATCATCAATTCCTTCTAGTGCAGCAAACACAGACTGTTAATTAGTTTTTGCATTAGATATCGCCCAGATTATATATACTCGTGGCCAAATACCCGTAAAATACCCAAAAATTACATGCTATTGTGGCATAAAGGTTTACTTTCCACGAGAACCCGTATATAAGCGGATGCCTAAAACACGAATTAACGCGTTTCAAGTTTAATTAAGTTGTATTTCTTGTCAAGTATCTTATTATGCTTAAATTTTTTGACACAAATAGGTTTACGCTATTGTGATCAAAAAAATAAAACGAATTTGAAATCTTCAGTTTTTCTTTCAAATTCCAATCATCGCCTTCGTTGCATTCATAAAATTCAAATTATGTTCTTTGTGAACACTTTGGAAGTAATTCACTGTTAAACTGTTATCACCACCTCGATTTTCGAGCGACACGGTCTTGGGTTGCCTTTTGTGCCATGTTCGCTCGATTGGTTATTTCAGGTCGCACGCACAGATTCAACTGGCATCTTCGGTAATGATGCTCTTCCTGACGTCCTTTTAGTCTGAAATCATTGCTTCACAGACAAAGTAAAAACCAAAAATCACATTTTTGTATGTTTGCAAACACACGTGTAACTCTACAGTCTGCAGCTGTCAAAGGCAATAGCATCAAGTTTTTTGGAGTTTTATGCTTATTTCTCGTAATGTAATCAAGACAGAATATTTAAAACTATTTTGTACATTCCTCAAATGGATGTACATAATTTACCTAAAAATTTAAAAATGGCTTAATTCTAAAATAGTAGACACCGTGATTATTTTTGCCTCAATAATACCAGCGATGTGGGTATCAAATAAAAGAACTTAGAGAGTAGAATGCGAAAACCATAGTGGTGGGTATGCGAGACTCGACACCCGCGGAATACAACTTTCCTACTTTTTATTATTATTGTTATTACGATTTAGTGAAATCGAAGAAATAGATGCTAGGAATAAGAATGATGAGTACTGTCGGCCACTATTGTCAGACATTAGTGCCTCTGGTGTTTAAAAACGACAGCATAAGTGGTGAGTTTAGCCGCCTTAATAAACATACACGTAGGAATTTGCAAATTTTCGAAAGGTTTTGGTATTCATCAAACCTAACTGTAAACATTTGCCCACAAATACCTACTGGAGGGGTAGATTACTTAAGGATCCAATGGAGTGTTGCAATAACATGATCAAGGCGTATGTTTGCTAATGTTTTGACCTTGATTTTCCCAACATTGCTTGGATAAAGCGGAACGCGATTACAATCGACATGAGAGTAATGTAGACCGTAGTATGGACGGCTTCTTTCGTTAGTTTTCTTTCTAACTCCTATACACTACACCACTCGGGGTGCCAGGACATATTAAGTTTATGCGGATATAAGCAGCAACCAAACGACTTGAGGCATGATTCACTCTTTTCACACTTTTTATGATTCAAGAAGAATCAAAGGACATTTGCCTCTCCATCTTGTATTCTTATGTTAAATCTACAAGTCGCTATTAGTGAGATATTTTCATGAAGAAATCATTAGTTTAGTTGGGCGTGTGTCCTGATCTAAGGATGAACACTACTGAAAATTTGTTCGATTGGGACTATTTTTTCGAGCGTTTCCCACGTAACACTTTCTATAGTAAAGATATTAGGCGAAATAGTGTGCGGTATGCAATGGTGTGTTGTGTTTTTATGGGTTTTTCAAGTATATTTTTGACGGCAATATTTTCCAAGCATAATTAACGGTGCCAAGAGCTCAATATGAATCGGAAAACAAAAAAATCCTAATTTGGTCTGCGTAATTATTAATAATTAACATAATCCATAATTAGTTAACATAATCCAGAACATTTGGCTTATACTTTCTACATGAATAATTCGAACGATGGTCTTAGTCGTTCGCTACTAACTCTCACATATATTGTACACAGCCGTTCGTTTTCACAGCCTGACATTAGATACATGCGACATATTTGTGTCAGCTTAAAGAATCTGGGGTTGTGATAGGCATTTTCCCCAGAATATTTTCCCCTGGTAGCGAAGGAGTTAAAGAACATTGCAAAAATAATTCCAAAAAATTTATATGCAATATTTTATATAATGATTTGACTTAATATTCATTAAAGATTTGCATCAATTCGAATATCAATTTTTTGCTTTTCATTCTTTCTTCTTAAGCGTGTTTGTGTGCGCATAAAAATGTGAATAAAATCAAATATTAACCGTGACATTGAAAAATGATATGTTAATGGCATAATTTATTAAAATAATTTATTCTTGAATTCTGTGTGCAAGATACGCGTATGTTTGTTTAAATATTTTGCGCCTATATTTAAACATAATACATTGTATTTATGCAAGCAGTGTGAAAGTGATGAGCCTTCAAAAGTGTCTTTTTTTATTTATATTTATTTCATTTCTATTTTTTAATATGCATCTCTCTGTATGTTTATCAAGTAAATCATAGTAAAAAAGAACAAAAAGTATGTTTACACTAAATTCTTTTTTGCATGTTTGTGGCTAATTAGTGCTAGTGTGAGATTTTGTTTAGACATTGCTTAGAAAAAAAAAAAAAAAATATTGCACATGCATACAAACAAACATACAAACACATTCATACGTATTTCATTTACACGGTAAGTTAGTAATATTTTCGGTTGTTTTTGGCTTAAGAGCGTATAATAATAAATTTTTATTCTAGGTTAACGAAGAATACAACACAAACATAACAACAGCAATAAAAAAAACATATATATTTAAAGAATTTTGTATTGCACACTTGAACTCATCCATACATAGTTTTCCACCTACAATTGTGTTTCAAAACATTGTTTTCTGCGACGCGACATCACTTATATGCATACACCATCCAGCGATTCAAACGATACACATTTGTATACATTGGATTTTCACCCACATATCATCTATCCAACCACCCACCTATTCTGTCAGTAAATAAACAACAACAACAACAACAACAAGAAAAAAAAAAGAAAAAAAAAAAAGAAAGAGAACAACTGATTTCTATTTGTTTCAAATAACAAAATGTAGTTTGCTTACCTTTTCTAAAGAAATATTGCTGCGTATGGATGCGGTTGCTTTGCGATATACGTATAAATGTTTTCGAGTGTCCTGACTATAAAAAGGTAGTTTCCTCATATATATGTATGTATATGCAAATGTATAATATATGTGAATAAATATTTTACATATTGTGCACTTCTAACCTGCTTATAAATCACTTCCCTTTCTCTAACCGCACATGTACATAATAGTATATATTTTTTTGCAGATAACCCACACATAAGAAATTGTATATAAATATTTGTTTTCGACGAAATTGTAATGTAAATAAACAAAAAAAATGTATTAATAATTTATAATTGTTTTATTAGTCGTACTAAGCTCATTTTCATTATTCACCTTAACTATTTTATAAACAGATGTTATAACGAATATTACAAACATTTTCAAGCTTACCAATCTTAGTCTCAAGAACTCCTTTTCTGCCTTTGAACCGTTTTATCTTCTCATTATCCCTCGGCTTCTTCTATTTGCAAATAAAAGTAACTTTCATTACTTTATTGAATACAATCTTTTGCTCCTGCTTCAATACCTGAAGAAGGCTTTTGTACTTTTTACTTACACGAGTGCGCAAATTGCGGAGCCATTCTTTTTCTAGAAAAAAGAAGCTTTGATATCAATTTATTCAAGTTTATGCCGATAGTATATCCTGCTGCGTAGATTTGGTGTCAATGGGGCCCCATTCTTAGAGGTTACGATAGATTTCTCATATGTTCAAGAAATTCTGAAAATAAAAACATTTTCAAAGGCGCGCTTTTAGTTTTATGTAAGGTAGCGGGACTATGCATTCACAATTTTCATCGATAGTATATACCAATGCACAGATTTTATACCACTTACATTTTAGAAAACCTTTGAAATTGAAGGCGTATAATGTGCTCCTCAGCGGACGAATAGTAAATGCAGAGTTCTCTTGCAATTGTAAGGTGACTGGATGAATTTACCTTCTAAAATTGACGGCAAAATGACATCATCTTTCAATCGATGGGACAAACCACCTTTGAAAGGACGGAAAATTTATATCTTTACTGCCAAGCATGTAACATAAGTTTTCACAAGTCCAACCAATGCTTTGTTTCCCTTCTGGAACTCATAGCAAAAGCGATGTCTTAAGTGCATTTTATGCATTACCATCTTATTTGCTCTACACTTCGCCAATAACTTTTAAAAGCAGTCCTCTTATATCCCACGAGAGGCACGCTAATTAATACAACCTAACATGTCGTATTTTACTAGTTTAACTTGATCTGATGAGCAAATTTATAAAAAGCATTGGTAGTGTATCTCAGTAAAGTACAACGTATATACGCACAATACAACAATAGTTATACCCAAAATCATACATACTTCGTCTTCCTTATTATAACCTGCACTACTTGTGGTACAAGATATGTATTACGTTTGTGCGGGTGTATGATATACACGATAGGACTCCGTTTTTGTATGTCTGTCCACGTATTTTTCTGCTTTCAACACATAAGTCTCAATTTCGAGACTTTTGAGAAATTTTGATACATTGAGGTGTTTTGGCCCAAGACATATGCTATTAAAAATGGATTGGATCGGACCGATTGATTTTACGACTATCCCCGACATAACGTTTTATTTAGAAAAAGTAGTTATGTGAAAAGCAGATTTTTTTTGACAGGAATCGCTCAGTAGCAAGCTCTGTCGAAGGTCAATTTTCCAGAGTATTGATTCAGCATAAAAACTATATGTACTAAGTTTATATCATATTTAGTTTGCGCAGCGCCTTCGATATATGAACAGGTTTGTAAATATGAAACCGGACTTTTTGTTTGATGCATGAAAATAATAGAAAGTATTTTATTCGAAATATTGCTTTTGACTGTTTATGCAGTTTCTCTTCTAATTCACAATTTGTGTATGCCACATCTTTAAAAATCTACTCGCTGCGAACCATTCGTAAAGGCTCTTTTTCTTTGTCGGACTAGCGAAAGTGTAGGCAGTGAGTAAGCTTAAGCATGGCCTAAGACTCTCCACTTGAGTGCTTGGAGCATAGCGCGCATTGCCTTCGCAGTATGGATGGATCAATGCATAGCAGTTAAAAAAGTGCCCTTGTGTTGGCTATTGTTTATATTCTGATGGTTTTTTGAACACCGTATCAAATCAAATAATTCCTGTTAGTAACGTTTGGTTATAACCGTTTCAGCAGACCTTAACAGATTCTTCTGGTTTCACCAAACGTATAGGGCAATCTTCTTGCCGTAGCGATTCGGCCTTGTGATACATGTGTATGATGCGCCTGGAACTCGCAAAAAATTTTAGCGCCTATGGCTATGTCAAAAAAACCACTTCTTGTACTCAGCCATACAATGCAAAACCGACTTCCTTTTAAACCGTTCGAGAAAAAAATAACTTTGCCAGCGAATTCTCTTTCGGCATAACGGTATTACAAATGTTGTTGGATGAACATTATATTGCTATGAGTTGCAAATTCCTTGCCAAATGTCAACAAGAGAACATGGCACCAACGACATGGCTTGAGAGAATTACGTTGACGGAAATAAACGTAGCATTTAGTTAAGTGCAGTAATCTAGGTTTACTAATCGACAAACCCCAGGGAGAACGATGGAAAAGATGAATGTTTCCCTGTTTAGCGCGGAGAGTGTCCGAATGAACCAATCCTCAGATAATTTTCAATCTTAAATTAATAGACCAAAGTATTGTAAATCATATTTTTTCTTTTTCATAAAATTTTAAGGCAGTTGTCTCGATTTCACCCGACGACAAGTGGGCAGACGAAATACCAGCACGATTTTGTTATTCACCCTGAATGAAGAGAAAGAGAACGTAGCAAAACGATATATCGAGTCAAAATATCGCTTATTTATTTCCAAGGAATTTCCAAGGTTTACATTCGATTTTATAAATGCAATGACAAATGCTATGTGTCCGTGAATAAATGCATGAAATAAATTTTGTTCACATTTTGTTGCGCAGGCCAAATGGGGAATGTGTGGATTTATGTGAATTTGAACTAAACGTGCTTTAGATAGTACGGTAATAGTAGCGCTAATAATAGTTTCGGTACTATTTGAACTCTTCCTTAGATATGATAGCAAAAAAGCGTTTTGCAATCTACTAATGCGATATGCGCGTGGCATGTATTACATTTCTACATTTCCATATCTATGACCCAGAGACGGATAATATATACATTGCGTTATTTCTCACTGCAACAAAAAAACAAAAAATGGATTCGTTACGAGTTAAGGGGGTTAAGTTCAAACCATTCTTATCTTAGTGAATATTTTGCTGAAGTGATCGGACATAAATCGTCATTTCCTTTTCTTTGTTTTTGTCTTCTCTGCTGCTTGGAAAAAGATGAAGAATGTAATGCAACCTTTACAAAGGTAAAAAGCAAAGAAGCATGAAGTTCTTGTGCTCCTTATTTCCAAAAATATCTTTGATTTGAGCTAAAAAAACTGATGCATACGATTTCAATGAGGACATCAAATAAATCTTAGCATTCCCGGCATTCAAATCTTTACCTAAATTAAAGTGAATTGAATTAAACTCTTAACCTCACTGGAAACACAGTCTTTAGATTTCTTAAATGATGACAGTTGTAACTCTCTCTGTCCTTCTTGTCTTTAGCAACTCACAGTGGTTTTCATTCGTGCATCCATTTACGTAGGTTCTGCTCTCTTCAATTAGGCCAGTAAATCATTCGTTGGTAGGAGAGAAGTTTTGTTATCCAAGCTACATATCAAAGTTTGTTTCTTTTCTTTAAGATGCTTTTAGCTCAAATTCATGAAAGTTATTTATGTGGTTTTGCGCGACAATCACTCTCTTAATGCCTTTAAACTGGACCGATCTTTAGACGCACTACACCGCTCCGTTTAGTATAATTATTTACCCGTTTTGGTAATAACACACGAAAAATTACACATTATTTTCGTGCAAACGCATTCTTTTCATGTAAGTTCGCATAATGGAGGATGCTCCAGGCCACACATCACATGCCATGATCGAAATTTACCAAACTTAAGGTACTTCCGTTTTATTTTATTATTTTTCGTAAGAACTAGAAATCATAGTTCCTCTCCATATAAGGGCTTGCTTTTCATGATAACCGATGTATATGCTGGGGTCTAAGAAATACATCTATATGATCGAAATTCCCTGCCTTTTGTTTTTTTTGCTAATTTGCTATTGTGAACCAATTTTCATCATAATATTAAAAATTTAATTTTTTTATGAAGGGCTTACTATTCATGCGAAATCTTTTAAAGAGGTGGGGCCCATGTGGTTAAAATTACTATCATGAAGAAATTTTCATTATAAAACATTACGCCTTTACGGCATACATTTCATGAGAATCCCTATATTCAATGGGATCCCAAAAATAGACCTACGTTGTCCAAATCTATTAAGATTGATTTCTCTGTCAATTTGCTATTATTATATTTTTACCATGAAATAGTAAAATTACACCTTTACAATACAAAGTTTCCGTTTTCGTGGGAACGGTTACTTAAGAGAGGCTTAAAAATATTGCCCCAGCCTCCAAAAAGCAGACCGTGGACAAACAATGTGTCATAATAAATGTGACAGATACAGGTTCGTATATTTTCCAGAGATTGCTTCAGCAAACCTTTACTGCCAATGCAACATAGCGCTACAACTGCAGTCGTTAAGAAAGGCTTACCCGGTCTCGTTTTCTAAAATAGAAATCTAATGATTTCGTTATATCTGTCACTCTCTTCTGCCTTTCCAGGCGTTCCCCATCCTATGGTTATACCCTACACCACAGGTGTTATAAAGGTACACTAAATTCATGCGAATGTGTGCAACATCTACCTATCCTTTTTCATACTTACGATTGAATGAATCGATCTAAGGTTGTTTGTCCGCCTAGATATTTGGCACACCGATGTATTTTGGCCCTAGGTTAAACGCTTTTGGAAACGATTCGAATCGGATGACATTTTTACGAAAATTAAGATTATTTCGAAACCTTTTAGCAAATTCATTCTTCAAAAATAATTTAAAAAAGAAAACATCAACATTCTATAAACATTATTAACGAGTGCATAAATATAACAATTTGCCGAAAAAAAAAAACAATATAAAAAAAATGAAATTGCAATGAGCTATTGAAACCGCAAACAATGCATGCACTGCGAGCAATCAAAAGCTTTATTAATTCGTCATAAAACTGAAACTGATTATCATTTGAATTTTCTTTTTTGTGTTTTTTTCATTCACATGTTTTTAGATTATGCTTGGGTAACGTTGACTACAAATGATACCTATTCGTTAGGTGCTTTGGTTTTGGCTCATTCTCTGAAACGAGCCGGTACTGCTTATCAGTTAGTTGTACTTGTAACACCCGGAATCTCAGAATCTATGCGCCAGAGATTGAAGGAAGTGTACAACATTGTACAGGAGGTTAATGTCATGAATTCGCAAGACGCCGCCAATCTAGCTTTGCTGGCGAGACCAGAATTGGGCGTAACTTTTACCAAACTTCATTGCTGGCGTTTAGTGCAATTTGAGAAATGTGTATTTTTGGATTCTGATGCATTGGTAATTAGAATGCAAAACATTGCATGTTATATGTTATACACATGTCGCTGATAGCTAAACGTTTTAATGAATTAAGGTTTTGAAAAATTGTGATGAATTATTTGAACGTGAAGAATTGTCTGCTGCACCCGATGTCAGCTGGCCTGATTGCTTCAATTCGGGTGTATTCGTTTACCGACCCAGCTTAGAGACTTTTGACAAGCTTACTAAGTTCGCCGTCGAACACGGAAGTTTTGATGGTGGCGATCAAGGTCTTCTCAATCAATATTTCGCTGATTGGGCTTACGTCGATATTCATAAGCATTTGCCATTCGTTTACAATGTAACCGCTTATGCATCGTATTGTTATTTGCCCGCCTTTAAACATTTCAAAGACAAAATAAAAATTTTACACTTTGCTGGCAAAATGAAACCATGGTTAATGCATTATAATGCTCAAAACAAGACGCCGAGTGTACCCAGTCAATATACGCATGCAGCCGATTTAATACAACTTTGGTGGAATATATTCTTTGACAACGTACATCAACGTTTAAATAGATCAATGGTAAGTTTTGTAAATTTCTGAAAAATTTCTTTATTTCCACCACTGGAGGCAGAGATGAAATTAAGTTGAAAAATTCCGAAGGGGATCGTGCAAAGTTTATTATTTCTAATGTAATCGAATGCATCCGAAAGGAAAGTTCCCGTTTCTCAATAAATTAAGATTAAGATAAATTAAGAAAGCAGAAATCCTAACCGATTTGGGCCCTGTTACTGGAACAAAAACTTAGACAAAGACAGAAATTTGCTACGTGGCATATATTCTGTACTTTATGGGTACCGATTAGGAACGCGAATTGGCGGAAACAATGTTCCAAACATTAATAACTAAGAGATCGTTAAAAAGCTAAAAAAAATACAACATTACATACTTTCATTAATAATACACGCTTATGACGTTGAAAATCGAGTCCCTAATAAAATTTCATTTGAAAGAGGAGGAGCTCGGCACAATCTACTGACAGCGAAAACGACTGCATATAATCTTGAAAATCGTGTGTAGCATCCATGTTACATTTGAATGTTTATTAAAATTCGGAGATTAATAGCCGTATTTTGATGTCTATACTTCTATAGAGGTATTAAGAGGAGTGTGCGAGAAGATGTGCGATTTGGGGAACTTAACAATCCTGTTTATGATAAAAATGATACTGGAGGATTTACTTATGACTATTACTTCGGAATAGCAAAATAGATAAAAACCCAAAAACTATCACAAGTATAAACATTATTATCTTTCCCGATCACAGCGCTAGCATGTGTCCATAAATATTTTATTTATCTTCACCTGTTGTCACAAAGGCTATAAATATTATCCTTTATTGCCACAAAAAGATTTATCATGTTATGAGATATTTTATATAGGGTGGAATTCACAAGATACGCCTACGCAGTTCCAAATCCGGTTCAGTTAATTTTTATGTCATGTTACTTTATTAAGAAGCAATTTGTGCCATAAAATATTACACCTTCGATTTTTCTGCCATGTTAAGGCTCAGTTTCGAAGGAACGGTACCGTATACAAAGACTTGTTTTACCTGATTCAAATTTATTTTATCAATTTCGTATGCCAAAATACCAATATTCGCCGTTTTTGGTCGGCAAATTTTGAATATTGGAGCTTTCGTTCATCTTATAACTTTTTCAAGGTAAGGCGTTATAGGGGGAGCGATAATAGATATGCTACGTTTCAATCCTTTTTCAATCCTTTTCGTTGGTTCTTGGACCAAAACATATTCAAAATTTATTACATTTTGAGAATACGTGAACGGACATCAAACAGACACACTGACAGACAGCCTTAAATCGATTCACGGAATGGTCTCGATCGAATCAAAACATAAAAAAATTCCAGAGGACTATCTTAACTCCTGCTTGGTCTTACATACATTCGCACAAACTGAAGTTGCGCTATTCCACAAGTGATGTAAGATACGAAGCGAACCAATTATCACCGAAATTCAGTTCGAATATTTATTGGAGTTCAGAAACTAGAATTAAGATTTCTTTTTTTAGAATCGAGGGTTCCTCCTCGATTTAGTAATGTGTAGTCGTTCGATTATAAAATTGAGCGAAGGTGACGAAAGCATTTTGCAGAGGTAGTCGTTGGAAACGAACTTGAAAAAAGTATGAACAGAGGAGGCAATATTGTCTCGGTATCTAATATTGTATGTCTATGAATCTAATAGTGTACGTGGTTGACAATAAGTACTTATTAGTTAGGGTTCATAGTTCGGAAATAGGTATAAATGTGAATTTAGACTGGACCTGTAATTTATTCACAACAACTAAAAGTTAGATGCGATCCTCCTTCACTATTCAACCCTTGATCTTGCTACAACAAATACGAAAACGGTTCCAAATTGCTCACTAAGAACCACAACGTAATTAAAATTTGAAACAATTTCCAATAGAGAAAGTCAATAATCTAACTTAATATGCAAACGCCGAAACCGATATAAATCCGAGTATTTGTAATTCTTCGTCTATTGTAACCTAAATATATGAATAGTCCCGAGAAAATGTAGCTAATGTACCACCCCTAAGCTATGACTTATATACAAATTAAAATATTTATTAGAAATCAGTAGACCAAACAGATCGCAAATAGTTTCAACCGCGAGCCTACCTTAACGAAAAGCTTCATGTGGTGGTTATTCGGCATTCGTCCTCAGACGAATATATTTTTCTTACTTGCTTGCTTTAGAATCATATTTGTTAATTACTTTAATTTTACTTTACTAATGCTTTACGATGCTTCGATTTTATTCATTTAAGAAATTTTGTTATGAGATGTTTTGCTTTTCCTTTGTTATTGAATTTTTTTTTAATTTTTCTTGAAAATTTCCCTTTAATCTAGTGATCTAAAACAAAATTCCAAGAATTTTATACAAAAGTCAGGAGGTAAGCTTTTTTTTATCGAAAGAAAAAAACAAAAATGCACTTAAGGGAAGTATGTTTCCATCAAATCTAGTTCTATTGTCTTGCACTACTTCTTTATGCATATCGCTCATAGCTTCGGATTTGATGGCAATTTGACGATAGTTTTCGTTTATGTGAATGTATATATTTTTTCCTCTTTGTCGTTTCCAAAATCAGTTTCATTGTGTCTGTTATTAGTCACTCTTTTCTGTTGCCGCACCCAAATAATTGACGCATCGCACGCACGCCAAACACATTTACATATTGTATACTCATATGTATTGTACATGTAAACATTTTTCTGCTAACAACAAGATCACTTTTATTTTTCGATCTTTTAATGAATTCGAAAATGAAAATTTTGGCTTCTTTCCAATACTTTGCCGATTCGTTTTCATTGTGCATATATTTTTTTCCAACAATTTTATACACACAACTCATAAATATACACATATAAATACAAATGCGAATATTGAGTGTGACTACATCAAGTGGCACTATGTGCGTTGTGAATGTATCTTAAGGTTAAATTTTGCTTTTTCATTTCTTATGAATGTATATGTAAATGTATATATGTTTTTGTGTGTATTTAAGTGTTAAAAGAAATGTTTACATATTCTTGGAAAAATCTTTATATAAATATGAACGTTTGCGCATAAAATATTTATATAAATTTATTGCTCTTGGCAACAAGTTACTCCTCTGCCATGGTACATCTTGAAACTCATCATTGCAAACTCATGACCCGTCGTCTATATATATACCTTGAAGTTGTTATTCGTAATACCGTACATGCACTAAAATAATGCATTTGCGTAAGCATGAAAGTTCAAAGAGGAAAGCTTTTCAATAAAGCTTCAATGCGCAAACAGATTCATTACGGCAAACTATAAGTGAACTATTATTGCTCTTTCGCGCCTTTATTAACTGACATTTTGGACTTGGTTAAATATAAGCAAAAGCACTATACTGGACCACCGTCTACAATTGAATGCCGTACAGCGCTCTACTGGCATTCATGTAACTACTTTTCAAAATAATGCATTATATGGGAAGCGGTCGAAAAAGGGGTTCAATCTTAACCACCTTCAATTGCTTTCGGACTTGGGCCAAAATACGTTGATTTCATTAAAATGTCTTAAAAATTGCCTTTTGCAGGTTAAGAGCAACAAACAAAAAGAATTCAGGCAGATGGACAGACAACCTTGAATTGATTCAGAAAATTAATCTGAATCTAAAATGATTCTGAATCGATCGAATAGATAATGATGATCAGTCTACATCAAGTCCTATCAGTCCATCAGTCTATATTAAGTCCTTCTGTGCATACATCCGTACATAGCTTTATTCCACAAGTGGTGTAGGATACGGAAATAGAAATGGATAACGTCGAGTAAAAAAAAATAAGTCTTAAAAGATAGCTTGGCATTGATGGAGTAAAATATTAAACAATTATATGCCGCTAAATGGTATAAAAAGTTTTTTTCCTTTGGGTTTTAATAAGTTCTAGCTGCTTGAACTATTCCTACGTTGGATTGTGATCATCCTTACTCTTGCCTGTCCTTTCCTTCAACTGACTGTAATGCAGTAGTTTCAGAGAAAAAATGTGCTGATTTTAGTACTTAAATAGACTACCCAAAATGGTTGAAAATCATTTGTACGATTACATATTGTTCTTTACTTTACCTGTGATATTTTTCTTATAGCAGTCCACTGATTCATCCGAAAATTATTATATATATCCCGAGGGCCGCATGAGTAAAGGCGATAATTACAGAGTTATATATATGATGATTATAAAATTCTTATAATTCATGTGCCTGTCTATGTGTATATCCGTTCACCTCATTCTTTACTCATCTGCACCTCCATCTCTTTATCCAACGCTCCGGCCTTATATTAAGTTTTCCAAATATTCCGTCTGACCATTCTCCCTACTGTTTGGCTACATGCATCTCCATCGTTTATTTTTTCCACTTTGCTACTTGTTTTTCCTTTTAGGTGACTACCCGTTTGTCCATCCGTTTGCCAATCTGTTCCACTGTTTGTTTATCTTGTTTGAGATCAGCTAATGGACCTTTGAATAGAATAAGTTTGATTATCTGACTTCGAAGCCATATCTTTCTGCCTTTATCATTTTCCACACAACGCAGTACTGTTTACGTGCGTTTTAGAAAGAAACCACGCTTCTTATAAACTCCCTCCGTAGCTAACCATCCATACGTCTGTCTGCCAGTACATTCACCAATCTATGTATTCTTGTTTTCCTATGTGGCACGGTATATTCATCTGTTTGTTTACGCACCTACCTAAGCGCTCGTGCATTTTCCATCCCTAAGTGCATTTCGCGCTGTGTCCATTATTTCGCTTAATTGTCGGCATGACTGTCTTCTGTTGCAACAATCAAGTTAACTAAGCTTGAGGTAATGAGAAAAACTAGAATTGTATAGCGATTCCGTTGGGAATATAAAATGAAAAAAACTGTCTCACTACTTTTGGCTAATTGAATGAGAAAGTTTTGGATCATGCAATTTATTCTTGAAATCTATAGCAACCTAAGTGTCCTTTTGACGACCGCTTTCATTCATGTAAGGCGATAGTTTCAGCCCCGCTTGACCACTCTGATTTTGACTTTTGTCAAGCATAAAAATCTTCAATCACTTTCTCTCTCCCTCTATCGACTAAGTTTAAATGATAGCTCACCAGGTGTCGTCGCACAAAAAATATAAAAGAATATTTTAATAAAATTTAATTTTGTATGGCCATATGGCATCAAATATTTTATTAACTCAATTCAAAAGGTTAAAAACAAGAAAAGAAATGAAAAAAATGGAATTTTCTTTACAAATGTTTTCATAATGCATAACAAGCCTGAGTATTCGTTACTCACTCTTTTAACAGTTTAAGAAGTAAGTTTGCTTCTTTTTTATCTCTTTGGTAATTTAAAATGAATGGTAGCAGCAAATAGTGGGCGTGAGAATCTTAGTTAAATGAAGTAAACATGATTATCGCTGATCGTCAAAGATGGTAGTTATAGTATGTAGTAGGCATAGTATAGGATAAGCAATCATCCTTTCTTCTGGCAATTACCATAATAACAGTTGAGGGGATATCCCCCCATACCTTCGGTAAAGGAATAAAACTTGCTGATGGGGCGCGCACCTCCCAGCCTGCAGCCATTCTTTGTTTGTCTCTTCCCACTTTCCTCTGACCATAACCGTGTTACACGTCAAGGATCCTCCGGCATGTATCTCAGAGGCTGCGGACACTCCTTTCTTACCATTACCATGTTACACGTTTAGAAGATGTCCTCTATGTGAATGGTCATGTTAAAAAAAGAAAAGCCAAAGTTTTGTTACTCAGCGGATTCAATACGTAAAAAAAATTTCATATTCTTTTTATATCTGACCGTTTTAAAAGAATTAATCTTTTGGAGATACGTTCAATAGTTTACACTTTTTTTTTCATTCTCAATTTTTATACATATTTTTGATTGTGTGTGAAAATTTTTTCTAATCTTTTTCTTGTGCCTCACAAAAATTCCTGATCAAAAACATATTCATGTTCACATTTATTAAAGAGGTATTATTCTGCCCCGTTGAAGCAATGGAAAAATAATTATGATCCAGCGAATCAAACACAACAGCATCAGCGTCAGCATCACCATCAGCAGCAACGGCAACAATTAGGATTTTGTACTAATCTCAATGCAAAAAATTTTAATCTAAAATATAATCAAAATTGTAGTTTAATTAATGGTTATAATGAAAAGCTTAATGATGATACTCAGGCGAACCAAACATCAAGCAAGCAAGTTAATAATGAAGAAAGGAAAACCAATGAATCTGTTAATCGTAATCCTTGCTTGGTAGATTGCTTTAAAGTGTGGCAAAGAGGAGAAGAAAGAAAAGAAAGTCAACAACAAATACCTGAACCAGAGGGAACTAATGTACAAATTCAAAATCTTAAATGCAAACATAATCAACAACAACAATGCGACAATTGCGTTCATCAACAGAAGAAGGCACAAATATGGTTAAAAGATGCAATAGAATTAGATGCCGAAGGAAAATCAATAGCAGCAACAGCAAAGGCTAACGATTTCAACTCAAATCTTATAGAAATAATAAAAAACATAAATGAATTTTATTTGAAAGAGGACACAAATAATTATGAGACTGATAATGTATTAAACTCAGATGAAGAACAAATTTCTCATTCCTTTAACGAGAATTTAGAAAATTGCGAAACTAATTCGAATGATGCAAAGATACGAAGTCGTAATTGTGACAGAGACAAGAATGAATCTACAGAGGTAACAAACAAATATTTCCGAAATTATTAAATGATCAGCGTATGTCGGCAGTATATGAGTCATTGCAAGTCTTTATTAAAATTTTCTTATGTTTTCGTATTGTTTTCAACATTTGTCATTGGGTACAAGGATTTCTGTCATTTGGTATCGTCTCATTGTATTCGCATCTGTACATATATATGTAGCTAAAACAGGTCATCAGTTCAGGATTGCATGTCCTTGCTTTTTGTATACATTTTATTTATTTATTTTTTTTTACTTTATTTTTAATGCTATCGGGTAATCGTGTTAGAAGGGTAATAAACGTTTATATGTTTTATAATTTTTATTATTTTTGTAACCCGTTTTATTGCCTTTTATGCTCTTATTTCTTATAGTGAATGTTTTATGTTTAATGAGGAATTTATTCGATTTTTTTTTAAGTTTTATTAATTACTTTTATATGCTTTCTTGCTTTCAGGCCGGCTTGGCTGGTGCTTTATCTCAATTGCGTTTAGGTGAGCAACGTACTGACGAACAAGAAGCCTACGATTTGTTAATGAGACGCCAGGCTTGGGAAGCCGGCCAAATGGACTATACGGGCTTGGATTCATTCGATAATATTTGGAAAAAGATTCAAGAGACTTTACAATCTAAACCAGAAGATGGTATCGGTACCTCTTAAGGTTTACATCGCTAACAAGTTTTCATAAATTTTTTTTTCGATTTTTTATTTGAAAATTACATTTCAATACAGAAACATTTACTTTATACAACATAAAATTTGTTTTTTTATAATTTCTTTATTTAAAGTTGTTTGAAAATATTTTAAATCTACACAGAAAGTTTCGAAATTTGCACTTTTTTTCTCTCTTTAACTTAGTTATTCAATAAGTTTATAGCCCATCAATGAAACAATGTTAATCCTTTCCCTGCCACGATCTGCTGGAAAAAACATCCATCATGAGTCGAAATTTTCTAAGCTGATATAAATACCGATACGTCAAATTAATCACGATATGACGTCGGACTGTGTCTTATTTATGTGATATTGGGCTTTGCGGTCATATATATGCTTGGCAGTGAATGGGTTAAAATGTCGAAAATACCTTCACTTTTCAGAATATTCCTTTTTTAAGTTTAAGACATTTCTTTACTGACTGGGGCAAATTCAAGTGATTGCAATTTTAAGAAAGTTTTCGCTGGGAAAATTTGGGCGTATGCAAAAAATTCAGTCAGTAAATTATTTACAGTTTACAAATAAAAATGCGGAAAATATCGTCAGATAACGGTGCCTCTTAATCCAAGTACTTAGGATTTTTTGAAGAAATTGGTTTGCTTGAAATTTTGATTTTCTGGACGCAGTCATTGCACCCTACACCACCATTACATATTTTTCTCGCCTTTAAAAGAACAAATGGAGAAAATTGAAGAACACGGCTATTCAGTTGTTGAAATGAAAGTCAATACAGTGACCGCTACACATAGCATTTTATGCCAGAATAAAACTAGAAAAATTCTGTCGGTAAAGAATGCGAAAAGACAGAAATAGAACAGATTCAGTCAAGCGTTGAATGGAACTTTGTATAAAGAAGGAACAAGGAGAATTAAATTATTTTTTAATTGAGCAAATGATGGCCGTAATTTGCTTTTGAAGCCCTCGCTAAGATTTAATTTGAAAAGTAGTGTTTTTGGTATTACCTCGGGGCACCTAGAATGTGTAATGAATTTCACGTCGAATCCGCAAATGAATAAAGCGGAATGGAGAATTTTTAGAACAATAAACACGAAACTTAATAAATTTGAAAGAATTTAGTTTTTCTATTTTTTTATTTGTACAGTTTTCATATTAATCCGTGCTTACGTTTTAAGTAACGAGAAAACCACTGTCTAATTCATTGTACAGTACACCAGTTATGGTACGGGACATATTAAGTTTGTGCGAATGTACGTACCACCCTGGATACGTAACCATTTTCTGAATCGATCTAAGTTTGCCTGTCTGCGTATCCGTCTGATGTCTCTAATATCTGGGCATGTATTTTTGGCGCAATTTTTGAGATATTTTGCTAACATTTGGTGCAAGGACGTGCTTTGATTCAAGAATTAACGCTATTGGAAATGGTTCAGGTCAATTCACTTTTGCGACCGCTTCTTGTAAAACTGCAATTTTCAAAATTTCCCGACAAAAGTCGCTAAATAACAATATTTCGACATTCTAAATTGGTATGAAAATTTTGGTTTTGTCGGGAAAATTTTTTGAACCTTTTTTTATATAATGGTTCTTACGAAAACTGAATGTTTATAAAATAAAAAGATATAGTTTTCAATACTTCATCTGTGAAAATTAGTTAACAACGGTAAATTGACATAGAAATCAACCGTAGCAAATTTGGACCACGTAGGTTTATTTTTTGGATATCATATACAAAGATTCTTTTTGAATACGTAGAATAATTTATTAGGCGAAGTGGTGCAGTGTACCCATGAGTCGGCCTTCCCCGACTATAATGTTCTTAGTTTCTTTAATTTTTTTTTAAAATAAGTAACAAGTAAAGGCTATATTT